ATATGTTGTCACAGCAGAATGACCTCGTCCACTTGCAATTGCATTGAAGAATAATTTTTTCTAAATTGGGTCTATTTCTTACGTGGCACGTACATTTTTTAGAATAAACTCAAAACATTGTGAATGCTCTAATGCAGTTCCGCTTATAGGGATGAAATATTTTCAGGATAGAAATATTTTGATATAACCATTACATATTCTTGCAATGCATGGTGAATTAATATTGAAAATAATTTTATAAAGATATTAGGTTTTATAAACATATTTTCCATCAAAACTAAGATCACACTATCATATTGTCCATATAAGAACTAGATAATTCACACATAAAAAGTTAACCTCCAAAAGCACATAAAATTTAGGGAAAATTTGTATTTGCCTCCTCAAGTATACGGTGTTTTTTACTTTGCCTCCTAAACATTATTTTCCCTAAATTTACCTCCTGAACTTTACGATTTTTTCCATCACCATCCCCTTCAACCTTCCGTTTAAACTTCTGTTACTTCCCATCCCCAAATTCCCATTTTCTTTCTTTGAACCCGTTCAAAGGGAATCCTACTAACTGAGCTCCAAAATTTATAGAAAATAATGCTTTTGTCGTAAAGCATCTATTAAACCCTAACATTCAAAGAAAAAAGGGAAACTCTTGTGAGATAGAGGAAATCTATTGGACTGAAATCTATTGGCAGATAGAGGAAATCACATGCACCCTTGTGAGTTTCATCAATAGCTGTGTTGTAAATATTTTTTCAGAGTAGAATCGAAAGATTCGAACACCGGGTCGTGTCTCACGAGGAAGGTTAGCTGGAATATTCTATACGTTTATTCAAACAAAAAGAGAAACAAAATTCCTAAACATTCTAACTCAGATGGTTTGATTTGGATTTAATTATCAACTACCAAGAGAATTTAAATTAAGCAATTGAAATAGCAAGCAACAATGAAGGACAATCAAGATTTAAGAAGCTAGGGAGTCGGGTATATCCGTTTTGGTTCGAAAATGCAATTATCAAGCAAGAGATTGTTCGGTTAAGTGATTTGACTAATCGACACGTTCAAGCACTCGTTCCCAATAACTTTTCGTAACAAGAGAACAAACTAGAACGGCAAATTAACAATTCATTTAACTTCTAGGCAATACAGTTACGAACAAGCATAGTTCATACGAGCCTATTTCGACCGACTCCTCCCCTTTCGGTTCTAAGAGTCGATTAAAGTAGACTAGAAGATGTTTATTCAATTAGTCCGTTTAGAATAACCAACATCAAGCAAGAATATATCGAACTCAATTGCAAACAATTGGGGGTTGAAGTGTCACCCTTCAACAATTCTAAATACTCGAGCCCGATAATTGAAAAAAAAAACCTAGAAAAAGATCAACTCGTATGAAATTGAAAAATCCTAAGCCCGACAATCAAAAATGATATCAAAACATCAATCCCCTATCCCTAGCATAAGGATTTAGCTACTCATAATCGAATAATCAACAACAGCAATCACAACCCAAGAATTCATAATTAACGATTAAATTAAAAGAGATTCTTACGATTGATAATTCCCAAGGTTGAATTCGATAGACGAGATTAATCCCAAAAGCAATGAAGAAATCCGAGTGCAAATTCGTGTTTAATGATGAAAAATATGAAGGAAACGATGAAAAACAAGTGAAAGGGACGAGAGGTAGGTTTTTTTTCGTTCGTGAGAATGAGAGATGATCTTCTGTCGCGATCCTGATGCATATATATAGCCACACGACATCACGGCGCGAGGTTGGTGCGGCACGGCGCGGCAGGCGGGTGTGGCATTCACTAAATATATATTTGGTTGGTGCTCTCTTTGATTAGGCTTGCCCAACTAGTATTTTTTCGAAATCCTGTTCTCTCGAGACTTCCAACCTACACACTAACGATGACGAAAGAAAACGGAAAACGAACGAAAAATACAAGAAAGACCAAGAAGAGAGCAAACACTAAATAAACTATAAAACGACCTAAAAACCAATAAAAACACCTAAAATGGGGAAAAAATAAAGACTAAAAGACAACGAAATACGCAACAAAGATGGGACAAACAACTCCCCCACACTAAAACCTTTGTTCGTCCCGAACAAAAAGAAAAGAAAAGACACAAAAACAAGCAAACAAGCATGGATAACAATTTCAAATAAGACCAGCCTCAAATTAATCAACTTAGCCAAGAAACTTCCAATGACCAATCACGCATATCTCAACTACACTCGAATGCAACATTTTGAGAACACAGACGCTCAAGAAGGATAATATCAAACATATATGCCTCACTCAATTTCTTTCATAAATATGAAGTGGATACGCTCAAATTGGTCGATCATCATGCATCAACATAAGCTTGCTTATTGTCTATTCCTACTCTAAAACAATCAAAAATCATGAAGTGCAAATCAAGAGGACTTCTGGGTTGCAATAAAAGCAGTTTGCACAAGGGAAAGACCAAAATGAAGAATAAGCGGCTCAAATAAACAATCAAATTCTCGAGCATATAAACTACTCGAATGCTCTACCACCTATCAAAACTCAACATGAAACTAATCATTCCCATCAAAACTCCATGCAACACTCATACATGCTCAAGATGAAATGCAAATTAAGTACTCGACTGTCTTTTTTTTTCTCTTTTTTTTTCTTCGATTTGTTTTTTATTTTTGAGGAGTAACTTTTTCTGAACAACAACGAATCGAAAGGACAACAGTCCATAGGTTTAAACATTGGAGGTCTTCCAAGTGTCCTACAGTAGTTTCCCAATGCTCATTACCTATCAACGTGAATCGACTAGTAAGAGGAGCATAATCCATTCGAATCGCCTTGTGAGCTCTCGTCTCTTTTTTTTTTTGTCAAGCACTCAAAATGCAACCCAAACAAGTTCTATACCTCATCAACACATATTACAAAGCTCCGTCATCATATCAAGTACACTGTCAAATCTCAAATAAGTCAATCGAATCGGTTGACAAGAAATACGGTTCAAGGCTCAACGGGCTACTAGTGAAAATATAAGTTCAAGGGTCAATGAAAAGGGCTAAAACGAGCTATTTCAAAGAAATGCCTCAATCATTTTCACAAATCACAACTTCAATCACTTCATTTCAAAGCAGACTCAAAGCAAGTTCTGATCAACAATGATTCCGACCAATATCTCTCAAGAAACAATGTAAGGCTCAAACCTCACAATAGGTAAATAAATGTCCAACAAAACGACACATCGAGTTCATCAAAATATACTGGTCATGATCATCATCTCATCTCGTCAACATCATCAACAATCCTCAACAGATCTTAAAATTCACCATAATCCATACTCACAAACACACAAACTAACTCAAGAGAAGACACTAAACCAAATATGAAAATGAAGAACACCCTAGAAGACCTAGACCTGGTCAACCATATAAGACACATAATCATGTAAAAACTCCCCCACACTTAAAACCGAACAATGTCCCCATTGTCGATCATCAGTGCAAGGAAAGTTTACTCATATAATCAACCAACACAAAGACAGAAAAACTAAAACAAAACAAAAATAAAGAGAAAGGAAAAGATACAAACGTACAGTCTAGTCACTGTGAATCCGGTGGTGCAGGTGGAGGGTGGCGGTAGTCAGGCCCCGAACAACGGTGGGCCTCTGTCAACTCAAATCTCTCGCCCCATTCGGATCGGGGCAGTTCCTTCAAACTCAGCTGGGGAGGAGTAGTGTGGCTGTCGGTATGGCGTCCCATCTCGATGTGGGCACGGTCCTGCAACGACCTCTTCGTGTACTCTCGCATACACGCTTCCTCAGTCAGCTGCTCAATCGCCCTAAGGGACATGCATTCTTCCACAGATTTTGCTTGTGGATCAGGCTGGGTCTCTCGAACGGAAATTGAAATTGATTCTCCCAATACGGTCATGCACGCGGTTCCCTTCTTCACATCAATGATTGTGCCGGTGGTCGCCATAAAGGGTCGTCCGAGGAGGATGGCGTGCTCCTTACTGTTTTCTTGTGCGTTCCCCACAGCAAGCACCACAAAGTCCTCGGGGACTATCAGCTTCCCCACACGGACGAGCACATCCTCCACAATCCCTTCCGGATGACGGAACGAATGATCTGCAAGCTGCAAGTGCATTCTGGTGGGCTTCAAATCTCCAAGCCCGAGCCGATGATAAACCACGAGTGGCATAAGATTAATGCCCGCTCCGAGATCAAGCATCCCCGAAACAATTTGTCCACTCCCGAAAGCTATGTTGATCACAAAGCCACCGGGGTCTCTTTCTTTCTTTGGCAAGTCGTGCTGGAAGACACTCGCCGCCTCACAAATTACCACCTCATCATCATTATCGAACCGCTTCTTGTTCGTGGCCACTTCCTTGAAGAATCGTGCATGGGCTGGTATTTTCTTCAACACATCGGGAAGAGATAAGTCGACATTAGCCTTAACCAACATCGCATGAAGGTCCCGAATCATCGTTCGGTCCTTCTCCTCCAAGAGT